ATTAAATCGAAATTATGTTGGCTTGTCAAAATCCTAAATCTTCTAATCCCATTATCTTGCCTACTTAATGAAATATTAAATAAAGTACGAAACAATTTTACGAATGTTTTCTCTAGGCACATAACTTCTTTCTAAAACGAAAAGTAACATGCAAAACTTTGATATCATTTCTAAAATAGCAAGTGCAATTCTATGAAATGGCAATACTGTACGATCTTCCTAGCAGTCGCCCCGACACAGTCGGTCGGCGGCGGCGCTTCACAAAGCCGCGGCTGTGACAAAGGAATTAGGCCGAAAAAAACTTTATAAGGAGTAGACGAACAGGGTTGCCGGGTTTGTTAGATTATAATTCCATACGAGAACAAAATTCTCGGTAGATCTTCAACAAAAATTAAAAGTACAGAAACGAAATAAAATATAATATTTAAGTCCAAAATTAGCATTCCTATGTGTCGTAATAATAGATCACTCAATAAAATACAAATATAATAAATATAACAAGAATTAGAAATAGCTAGGTATATTATTTGATATTAAAAAAAAATATTGAATTAAATAATATTAATATATTAATAAAAACATATAAAACTATAACAAGTAGGGATAGCAGTCACAAATTAGTGTAACAGTCACTTTTTACCTTTGTACAAATTTTGATCAGTGATATCTAAAATTAATTTCATTTCAATGGTAAAGCTGTAGCAACTCTCAACTCTTTTTTCATATAATATATTTTTTTGACGGGAAAATCACTAAAATATTTGTCCGAATTTAGGTTGTTTCTTAACTTAAATTTTGTTTTTTGTTTACATTTTTTGGGGAAAATATGGGTTCAACTTTAGTAGATGAATGAAATAAAATCTTTTCAAAAGATATCAACTTCTTCGGGCATGTCGCCAATACCGCGCCTAATAAGGAGTAATAAGGAGTAATAAGGATTTTTAGGAATATCTCTGTAACTCTGCAACTAGACAGAACGATGACCTGTATGTGTGTTATTACTAAATAAAATTTAATGAAACAATAATAAAGTCAAATTATACAGATTCCAACACGGCAGTCGCTTAATTTTTAGTCAAATAAGTCAGCTTTTTATAAGTGCTTCTATTGTAAAAACTAAAGACGCAGTTGAATATATCGTTAGATTTTTCTTTAAATCGGTAGATCGGTAGCTTACAGACGAAACCGGTAGACCTGGCAACTCTGTGATGAACTGACGGGAGTCAGAATAGCGAGGTGCGGAGGCGCGGGAAGGGAAATAAAATAATGGCGATAAATAAAGGGCAGGGAGATGGGTATCATGAGTGGATGGGAGGTGGCGGAATTTCCAAAATTTGTTATCTTATAGGAGTTTGTCTAAGTAGACAGTCGTAGTGGAAGTGGAAACGGGGAAGTTGTTGTCCATCTCTGTTTAAGCATAGACTTTTTATAGGCGTTTCATTCCAATGCATGTAATTCCTATGCCTAGAGATCCATTGCCGGGCCTGTATAAATGATTGCATCACCTGTCAAACACAAAAATATAGTCGATTAAAATCTTACATTCCTTTAGTCAAGACTGACACACCCTGTAAGCCATTTCGTTATACACCTAGACACTTTTATATTTGAAAAACAAAACTTTTTAACTATATTTGACAAATTTTCTAAATTTGGTCAAGCTTATATTTATGATAAAAATGCAAAATCAGTTTGTGATAAATTGATAAACTATTTTTCATTTTTTGGTTGTCCAGAAAATATTGTTACTGATAATGGTTCTGAATTTAATAATGATTTAGTAAAAGAATTTTTAAAAGCTCATAAAATTAATGTTCATTTTGGAACTAGTGGACATCATGAATCTAATTCACCAATTGAAAGATTTCATTCAACTTTAATTGAACATTTAAGAATTTTAAAATCAAAAGATAAAGATAAAAGTTTAAATGAACTAATGACTTTTGCTATTATTGCATATAACAGTACTACACACACAGTTACAAAGTTTACACCCTTTGAACTTGTTTTTGGACACACGAATTCGAGAGATCCTCTAGATTTAATCTCGAATACATTTTACTCTGAATACATGAATACACATAAAACAAAAATTAATGATATGTATAATCAAGTTGTACAAAAAACTGACGAACAAAAAGAAAAAGTTATCTCAAAAACTAATATTAAAGTAACGAAAATTTAGAGTTTAAAGTTAATCAGAAAGTTTACAAAAAACTATCTGAAAGAAGTAAATCAAAGTCTAAATTTAGTGGTCCTTATATAATTAAGGAATTACTCGAACATAATAAAGTAAAAATTGCCAATGCAAATAAACCTTCAAAAACTGAGGTTATACATATTAAGGAATTAAAAAAGCCCCTTATTACAGATTCCTCGGAATAGGGTTATTACTACAATGTTACACACAACACACTAACATTCGAACATAAATCTTGAAAACCTTGATTAATTTAATGCTGGAAAAAGATGATTTAAAGATTAATAAAAAATATATATATGCATTTTACTTAATCGATTTTAAGGTTATATATATATATATATATATATATATATATATATATATATATATATATATATATATATATGCATTTTACTTAATCATATTTAATAAATACATAAACATCAAATTTTTAAATAATCAAACCAATGATGACTTATTACATGATCATTTATTGTCTGAATGCAATTAAAAAACAAACATTTATATAAAGAAAAAACTACCCTTTAAACATACAAAAGAAAATATGTTAAATATTAAAATTTGTTTAGAAATTAAGAACTATATGAAAAACCAACATGTATTTTACTATTGAGTTACCCCTCGTAATTCACATTCCATATTAACTGAATGTATTGTTTTATTTATCTGCTTTAAAAGATAATAAATATCAAATAACGACATCTACTTTAATTAATTAATGACTATCTTTGTTACTTTTATAACTGTAAAAAATATATATGTATAATAATATTGTTTCTCATTTTTTTTGTAATTTTATTATAAATTAACATTTCTTAATATTGATTTTGACATTCAATATATTGATAAAAATAAATATGTTTTCATAATAAATTGTATAATTATTGTTATATAATATTAATATTGTCATAATATAATTATTGATTTTTATATAAATTATTATATAATGAACTTTTACTAATAATAAACATTCAAGTGAATTAAATATTGTAATAAATGAATTTAATGAATTAAAAAATAAATATATTGTTTTAAAGTTATATACAAATTTTATGACGTCATTTTAACTAATGAATTTACCTAATATTGTCTTAAAATGTAACGAAACGGTTTATGTTTTACCTATTTATGACAATGTAAAATTGTTCAATTTAAATAATATTCATTTAAATAAAATCGATGATTTGCAAAAACAAATCAATATTCAAAAAGAAAATAATGATTTATTTCTTAAACCAATACATTTTAATACTATAAGTATTTGGACAATTTTACTATATATAAACCTTATTATTATATTTTTATATATCTGCAAAAGGTATTTATGGCCAAAAATAAGTAATTATTTTATTAAAAATAAGAAAAATCAAAATATTCATTTAAATAATGAAATTACTATATAAGGCCATAAAAACTTTAAAAAGTTTATATGTCCATCTTAGGGTGGAGGAGTTACATCCTGTACATTAGGTTTAGTACACATAAAAATGTACTTGTACTGTAATTATTGTAACCTTATAAATATGACTCAAACAGTACATTAGTTTGAGTCCAATGTAGATCTTTAGAGCTGTTAACTTCGGTTTTTATTAAATAAAACATTTTTTAAAAACAACTTGTCTCGAGTTTCTCATTTAACTTGCGGAGGTTGTTATAGGAAGTTCGAGGAGATTTTAAAGCAATGATTTAGGATATTTTCAAAATTTCATCTGGCAACAATGAGGGCAGTCTCGAATTGTCATCGGCATCGGAGTCGATTTGAACTCCCACCATGCTCATTCTCAATCCTGCCTACACACTTAGGAACCGGCAACACTGTATCCTCCCTTTTTTTGTGTCTCTATCTGTCAACCGATCATTTGTATTATTCTCTGTCGTATCCATTAAAATCCAATACACAAGAATGACCTGACCAGTTCGCTATATGTATATGAATAAGAGAATTTATTTTTTTGTAAATTTAATTGTCTGTATATCTACTTACGAATTTTTAAGTTTGCGTAAGTAAATAAAATAAAATAAAATCCTATGATGTACTCCATGATACTATCTACCTTATACTCAAAGTACTTAAAAATTAGCATCTGTGGAGATAAAAAAACATATACTTGTACATTATGTCAATCATTATGTCATTACGTTGAAGGCTGCTATTTTTGCTTTAGCTTTGTCCTAAATATTCTTGAGCTATGTTTTAACCCAGAGATAACATATATTTACGAACTCCGTTAGGGTATTATGTAAATTTAGGGAGGAGGGGAGGGGGGGACAAATAGAGGCAACTAAAATTTTGTCGCCTACCCAGTACCACGGATCACGAGCCGCCACTGATATAAGGATATAAGTGATTTAAATTAACAAAAAAGGATTTAAATATTTTGGGATGATTTAAGTACATTATTAAAAGTATCCTAAATACTTTCTAAAAAGATTTAAATCACAAAATAGATGTAAATCTCTAAATGATTTATATTCTAAACATTTTCTTATTGGCAAAAGTATCTTTGATTTAAATCATTTGTCCAAATGAAATGTATTTTTGACCTTTGATTTAAATCGTTTTTTAACAGCTCAGATTTGTGACAGCAAACAGATTTGTGACAGCTCTGCCCGAAAGTGTATATGGAAAGTGTTTCACTCAGCCGTCACGGTCGTTTTATTTGTTAAAATTTAATTATTTCTTTATCTAAATAGAGCGACCATCGATTTACCAAATCAAGGAAGGCAATTGCAAAATACCTTCAGAATATGTGGTCAAATTGAACAACACACTATTAAATTTGTTAATATAAAGTACCTGTTAATATTGCTAAGATTTGCGGCCACCTCTTTCCATTATCAACCTTTGATAAACCATTTGCGGAAATATTTGTGTGGCTTTCATTTTTTAATTCAGCGGTCATTGCAAGTTTTTTCCCAACCAGAATCTTTGGCACATAAAAATTATTAACAAAAAAAATCAGAAATATCAAAAAAAAATACTGTGTTGTAATAGCTTAGACTAATGAATAGAATGTATTACATAAAATTAATAGGTTATAATAATAATTGTTTAAGATAAACATTGCATTAACAATGTGAAGCCTAAAGTTCGTATTCAATTCATGGTGGCAATTATATATTTACAAGATATTTTCGTAGTTTGTTATAGTTTTAGGTGTGTTTAAACACCCGCGAATTAAAATAATAGAAAATATTTACCTTACTTATTAAAGCATAATTTTAAATTTGATATGTTACTTAATTTTTTTCATTTTATTATAATTTGTGTAAGTGCTTTTAGCGATTCAAATAAAATGTTGAGGGTAAAATTTATTTGTGCGACAGATTCACTAGGAACGTGCACATGGGTTATCACTGAAATATTTTTATAAATAAAAACATGTACGCCACTGACTTATTTTTCTCTTGTTAGCAAAATTGTATAGAATTTTTTATGCCGATTAAAACTTGTATCTTGATTGTATGTAAACTTTTACCTTGATGTATCTCGTTGTCGATTATTTATTTAACCTAATTTATTATTACATTTTATTAAAATTTATAACAATGATGTTTAGTACTACCTGCAGCAAATTCCAATAAAAAATAATGGTGTTTAAAATAATTATAAAATACCAATTTTTAAAAGCTTTAAGCCGTCACATCCTGTAACTTTAAAGCTATGCATTTCTGCATGCATGTTTATACGAACTCATATTTTTTGATGAGGAATCAATGAGAACTTATTTAACACTTTGACCCAGTTAAATCGCCGCTCGAATGGCTTAAGTCATATCTTGGCAACAGAAGGCAGCTTGTGAGGATTGATACGTCTATGTCTTCTTGTAAGCCTATAGAATGTGGTGTCCCTCAGGGTTCAGTACTTTATCAACGACATTGCAAATCTAGACATTAGCGGTAAAATCTGCCTCTTTGCGGACGATACTAGTTTCACTTGGAGCGGCCCAGATGTTGCGGCACTATATGATACTATATCCAGTGACTTCGCAACCAAATCACACCATTAAGTCTTGGTGCAATTCTAATCTCCTATGCCTCAACCTATCAAAAACTAAAGTTTTGTCATATAAAAGTACTATACAACCTTTTGTACTTAATAACACCACTATTGACGTCGTGGACTCTGTGAAGTTCTTAGGACTTGTTATAGACAACTCGTTAAAATGAGACTTTTACATCGAAGCTCTATCAAAGAAACTAAGCGCTGCCTGTTTTGCGCTAAGATCAGTTTCTAAGGAACTTAACTTCTCAACCTCTAGAATAGCCTATTATGCCCTTTTTGAGTCACATCTTCGTTATGCCCTTCCATTCTGGGGTACTTGCTGCGCAACAAAATTTGATCGTGTTTTCAGACTTCAAAAGAGAGCAGTTCGATATTTATTGGGACAGAACAGTAGAACTCACTGCCAGAATTTCTTTAAAAATTTGAAAATACTGACTCTTCCTTCATTATTCATTTTTGAATCCGTTTACTTAATCCGCAAGCACATATCTGCTATTCCCGAAAGGCCATCTCATAACTATCCACTTAGGAATGCAGAGCATGATCTTTATCTGCTAACCTCGAGCTCAGAACTAGTTAAAGGTTCAATACTGTACAATGCCAAAAAAATGTACAATCATCTGCCTTTGAATATCAAGTCGCTTTCATTCTTTCCCGTATTTCGCAAAGCTCTAAAATCATACTTACTGGAGAGAGCCCTATATGCGGTAAACGACTTTTTTGTTGATGTTTAATTATGAACAATTTTGAATTTTAAAATTTTGATCATCTCACACACTGGTCAAAGGTCAAGTATTTAATATTTTATAACTCTAAAATCATATCTATGTACTGTGTACTGTTCTAAAATTGTCCATGTATATTCTTTTTGTAATTTTAAAGACTTAAATTTTTTTGAATTGTATTATTTGTACCTATTGTGTATTTTTTGTTGTTTGCATTTTTTTGTGATTTTGTTGTTTATGAGTGCTTTGTCGATGAAGCTGTTTTGGCTTTTTGTACAATAAAACGTTGTTTGTTTGTTTGTTTGTTTGTCAGTTAATAATATTGAAAATTTTTAAATGTAGCTATTAAATCAAGACATATTAATAAAATTGCGTTTATCTCATCAAGGAGATCGAAATCGACCAAATATCAAGAGATAAACTGTTAATTGGCTTTAAATAGTCTACACAATTTTCCTAACAAGAGAAAAAAGTCAGTGGCGTAAATGTTTTCTTTTTTAGAATAATATTCCATTCATAACCCATAGGCACGTCAGTGGTGAATATATCGACACTTTTTTAGCATTAAAACTCTTATGCCGCACTTATAGCAACATTTACCCTTAAAATTTTATTCGAATCGCTAAAAGCCTAAACGCACTTAAGAAAAAATGAAGATTTTAAAGCCATACCAAACCTAACGAAACAAAGCAGAATCGGATGTTGATATAAAAAATAAATCTTATTTTTATGTCAATAATCAGGAATCTCCCTTCGAGAGCTGAGAGATTCACCCTGTATATACAATACATTTCAATTTTTCATGAGTTTTGTTGGTTGTCTGTGATGATAGTCCTCATGATAGTGTAGTTTGTTGTCTGTGATGATAGTCCCAGAAGACACATGAGATATTAATAAATATAACGATACCGTTAAATTTACCATTATAAATCTAAAAAAAATTAAATTATAATCTACACTACTCAAAACAATTATCGCATATTGGGGGAATAAAAGTAATTATTACACATTTCTAAATGAAACATGCATTTTTCGGCCTTTCTCTTGCGAGTTTTTTAAAGATAATTAGGGTACGCACCGATATGTAATTTTTAGTTGCAAAAATGAAAACATTACATTTAAAAAAAAATACATTCTTATTCAGAACATTAGTTTCCACGACATGTAAATATATGAGAACGCCATCCATGCTAAAATGTTGTATCCGCGAGAAATTGTATTTTAACAAACGTCCATTGATTTTTTTTAAAAGTTACTAGTTTTTAAAAATTGTGCTTACTTTTAAACAGCGTCATCACCCAGCACTAATCGGGTAAAATTTTAGGTCTTGTTACAATACAAATCGAGGTAAGTTTTATTAAAAAAAAATTGGGTGGCTACCCACTAAACTAACTCCCAAAAGCAACAATGGATGTCATCATGGAGTTCCTCAGAACTTACGACCGAGAAAAATCAAAGATTTTCCTTGATTTGAGTAAAAACAATCTTCGGATTTCCACCTGGTTTCTTACAGAATACTGTCACTAAGGTGTTCTGGTTGAGGAGACAGTGCACTCAGTGATAAGTTACTGAGTGCGCCGAGACGACGCGACGACGGTTTGTGCCATAGACTTTGGTACAGCTGATGTTGAGGATGGAGAGCTGGCCTCTGTGGAGCCTCTGTACTGGCTTTTGTTAAAGCATTGAGACTGTTTGATGAGTTATAACTCAAGAAAGGGGAACTATAGAAGGAATAGATCTGTAAGGTCGCGGTGATTAACTCCCCTCCTAAATATTCTACATTCTACCCACTGAACTGAGACAAGATGTATCGAAGTGTACCTCCATTTTGGTTCGCTTTCCGATTTTCTCATATCAATTGATATAGCTGAATTTTTTAGTTTGTCACTTGAGGGATTTGACTCTTGGTCAGTCCCAGCATATTTCCTTCCATTGAGCGTTGTGTGACCTGGGCCCGTATTCTGTAACTTTGAAAACGCTAAACGCTTTTAGACGCTCAGCGTATATGACGTTAATTTTCGCTGAGCGCGCACTTAATTAACGACTTCGGTATTCTCGTCTGACGCGCTTAGCGTCCTTACCGATTGCGCTGAGCGCTTTGAAAACGGTTGCTTTAAAGGATTGTTTTGCTTGTCGAACTGTCAGTGAAAATCGAAAAAATTGTGATTTTTTGCGTTGTCTTGCACTTTAGTGAAAATTACTACTTCTTCTATAAATTCCTCAATAAGTAATTGATATTTTACGACTTGGCAGCTATAAATATTGTACAAAACATCGAAAATGCTGAGAAGCGTCTTCAAAACTTCCCTCGTATAATAAGAATAATGACATATCCATAGAAAAATAGGTTGACATAACTCAACAATAGGTTATGAAATTCACGTAACATTGACATTTTCATTGTTACATCCGTCAGTTATCAAATTTTGACTATTATTAGCTACATTAAGCGTAGTTTACACCAAAGTTTACACGGGCAAGTAAATTATCGCAAGTATATGTCTGAGAGCACTTCTACCAAACTTGCTAATGTAAACAGTATCCGAAAGCACTCTACCAGCAAGTCACAAAAATGGCGGGGAAGTGGTTGCGGCGAAAGACGCTTGCAAGTGTAAACAGGTTGGGAGAGTGCTCAGAAGTTAAAATTTATATCCGTCTTGTTGAAAGTTTTTGGTGCAAGTGATTTTCGAAGGCGTGTTAAATAACGATATTAAAATGGAGAAACGTATGTGGTCGAAAGAAGATACCATCACTTTGATTAATTTATTTGAAGGATTTCCGGAATTGTGGCAAAAAAATCGAAAATTTACAGAGATAGAGCTAAAAAGCAAAAAGCAATCAAATTTATAGCTGACAAATTCAACACAACTGAAGCTGAGATTCAGCAGAAGCTACATAATATTCGTATCCAAGCAAACCAGGAGTGGAAGAAAATTATAAAAAGAAAAATAAAATCGACTTTTGACATTCGCAGAAAATTTGTTTAAATGCTTTGGGTCTTCATTTCTTAATTCTTTTAATAACATCGCGTAAGCTCCAAGACTAGGCCTTCTGGAAATCCATTCTTTAACCCATATTCTTTTTCTAGATTTTCTTGACTGTTTGCGTAAAATTGTAACAAGAAGAGCTGCAGCCCTCTTTTTACGGCGCGACATTTTTCTACTAAACAATATACTTGTGCAATATACACCATACCGTGTATACGTGCATGCAATTTCTTGCTCAAAGCATATGCCTAGAAAGTACTTGTTGCAAGAAATTGCTTTAAAATTTGCTTAAATGTAAACACTATCGCAAGTTACTCTAGCAAGTTCTATCTCAGTTTTCTATCCCGTGTAAACTACGCTTATTAGAAA